GGGAAATCCTTCTCCCCATTCTCCCCATAGCAGCACTCCCCTCCACAGCAAGGGCCAGGTAAATGCCCTGCATTGTGCAGGTGCCCTGTGGCATCCGGCTGTTTTTCTTCCTGTGCTCGCCAAGTACAAGACAAAAGCCCCAGCTGTCTTCTATGCAAGAAGAGAGAACAGAAGGAACTTTCCTATCTCTCCCCACATATCTTCTGGGAATATATTCCCACACAGATCTGATGGGAAACTAATTTCATCTTAAAAAATAAATTTAAAAATTAGGAAGCACTTATCACAGAAGTGAAATAGAAAAAGATAAGAAAGCTCACTATACTAACAATGTTTGAAAAGCAGACCTCTCACTCCTAATATAGCTTCTTCTGCCAGATGCTGTAATTAAGTCACATTTCCATGGCTGAGTTGCTTTTCTTGTCACGGAAATAATTATGTCATAACCATCAGGGGTCAGACGATGCATAAGCACCTACTCAAACCGGGAGCACTTGTCAAACAAAAACAGAACACGCATCTCCTATTTTCAAACAAACACAACAACTCTTAAACCCAGGCTACCGTTCAGGAAACAAAGTAACGTGCAGATAGCATGAAAAACAGAAACAATTAATAGATTCTTAAGCAGATGCCACTATCGCCTTAGCACCCCAGTCCCTCCCTAGAACCTAAGCCTGGATCTGATTATATTGTTTCTCTGTGTGTAACCAGCTCGTCCTCCCTTGACAGACCTAGAAACAACTTTAAAAGCCAGAAAGCCTCAGGTAATGTGACACATTCAGCCAACTGGCAAACTGCAACCTACTGCAAAAGCCCGAGAGTCGCTTACGTATTTGTACGCGAGATAAGCCAACAAAAGAGCCCTAACAGAGGTAGAGGGATCTATGTGCATCGTTTCAGGCACACCACCGCGCACAGAAAGCAGAACCTCCGGTTTAGGCGAGTAACCGCAGGCAGGGGCACTGCTGGCGAGCACGGCCTGCCGCCCCCCCCCCCCCGCCCACCCAGCATGTATTTAATCCTAGCCGAGAACAACAACAACCTGCACGCACCCAGCTCCAGGCGGGATACGGCTCCAGCTCCCCGCGACAACCCCGACGCCGCGCCCGGCGACCCCGACCCCGCCACCAGCACCCCGCGGGCCGCCCAGTGCCGGGCGCTGCGTGCCATGCAGGGTGCCGAGGCCCCGCCGAGCCCCCCAGGCCCGCTTACCCCCGCCGCGCACGGGGGGAACGGGCAGAGCGCGCCCAGCTCCTCCTCGGAGGGACGTCCCCGGAGCCGGCGGCTGCCCCCGGAGCCCGGTACCTGGCTGCGGCCCTAGGGGTGCCGGGGCTGCGCCCCCGCCATGCCCGGCTCCGGCTGCTGGAGGCCCCGACGCCAGCGCCTCAGTCCGGCCCGGCCGCCATGTCAGCCGCGCGGTGCATTGTGGGACGCGGGCGGGCGGGGAGCGCCGGGCCGGCGGGCGGTGGGCACGGGCCGGTGCGTGCCAGCCCTGCTCGGGATCGCTCGGCCGGGGTTGAAGCCTCGCTTCCCACTCTCCGGCTGTTCCCGCACGCTACGGCAGCAGAGGGGAGTGAGGGAAGCAAGTGCTCCATTTTTTCCACTAGCCTACCCCCGTTTTTTTTTTTTTTTTTCCCCATTTTCTCTTTTTTTTTTCCCGTGCCGGGAGGGAACGCCCGCCCCCTCCCCGCGCAGACCTGCGGGGTTTAACAGCTGGTAGAGGTGTGCGAGAAACGTTTAGATTGGTGCTGAGGGACGTGTTTTAGCGAGGAAATAGCAGTGGTAGGCGGTCTTGTAGGTTGACTATGTGATCTCGGAGGTCTTTTCCAACCTTGCTGATTCTATGATGCACTGCGTCCCTTTGAGGATCTGCTCCTCTCCACAGCCTGGGCCTCAAAGCCGTCCTTCCCCATTCCCCTGCTCTGCTCGCTGATACTTGATGGAGGAATGCAAGTTCCACATAAAGCTCAACCTCTGCAGGCCTTTCCCATCGCTGGGATGCTGGGGGAAAGGGGACCCCAGCTCCCTGGCCTTGGCTACGAAGCTATCTCTGGCCACAGCAAGGGACAGTACCTTGGCCAGCATGTCTGCTGGCACTTGGGCAGGTCTCAAGAGAGAAGGGCTGGCCTGCTGGGCTCTTGGCAGTGCTGCAGGGTGACCTAAAGGAATTGGCAAGTGTTTGAATAAAGCAAATATTTCAAGGACCCAGTGCAGTGCTATCTCTCTTGGCAGTGAAACGCCTTATTGGCACTGCCTAACCCCGGGTAAGGAGGCCTGTCCTGAAAAACAAGAGGTATAAGAGAGTGTTGTTGAACTATGGAAGAGGTTAAAAGGAAATTATTAAAAATAAATAATAGTGTTGTAAACACTAGCTTAGTCTGTAGGCAAATGAAAATTGCAAAATGTGTAATTCTGGATGCTAGGAATAATGGCAAGATGTACCTTTGAAATGTATTGTGAATTCACTGGAATCCTTAGGGCTAATCTGCTTTTTCCTAGTTCACTTCAAGCTCAAATTTTACGAAATGAAGAATGGGTACCTCTGTTTTGCTTCTGGGAGGTTGTGCAGAGCAGACCCTTAGGAACATGGGCCTAATCCAGTCAGCAGTGACAAAAATTGCAGTGCTGCAGTGCTGTCTGATGGCAGCTGAGGTCAGCTGGGTGGTGGCTTCAAATCAGCCCTATTAGACAAAGATATTGATTAGGTTTGGTAAGTCAAAAAGTAAATTGTAGAAATAACTAAATTTAACTTGCTGGTGGATGCAGTGCTCCTAAATCAATATTTAGACATGCTACTGAGCAAACAGGCACCAGTTTGCAAAACTGACTGGCATTTTTCCTACTAGCTGAACTTTATTAGAATATATCAGATTCTTCCAACAATTTAGTTCAAATAGCTGGATAGACTTGAATGGAAAACATTAGTGCAATTTTACCATGAAAACTTGATCATTACAGAACCAAGTCACTGTGTGTATTCGGAAACAGTTCTGCATCCTCTGCAGAATTTTATTGCAGGGAATAGTAAAGAAACATGGCAGTAAAAGAGGAAGTTGAATTTCACTGCCAGCTGGCCATCATTTAAAGAAATTACAATTCAGTGCCACTGATCAAAACCCTTCAGATTCTGGCTGAGATTGTAAGAGAAAATGTAACTTGGAAAACAAGTGAATTTTGCATAGAAAACAGACAGTAAAGATGAGGCTGGAGGAAGCAGATTTTATAGAGTCCCTTTCCAGAGCAAAACCTTGCTTGTACCATGATGCCTTATTTGTTGTCCCATATCTAAACTACTATATAGTTATATCTAAAAATAATGAAAAAGTGTACTGAATATTTCTTTTTGTTTTTTCTGAAAAAAAAAAGAAAAAACAACTTAAGTTATTTTCATTGTTGAAATGATTTTTTTAACTGTTTTTGGAATTAATTAGTTTTAATTTCTTTATTTAAAAGCATAAAGCATTTTAAAGCCCTGATCTGCACCTTCAGCTGTCTCAGAGATTCTCTAAATCTTCTGAGGTGATTTGGTTCTAAAGTGAGGAAATTGCACTTGGTTCATGGTCAGTGCTACAGGTAGGAAAATACCCAGAAATACAGAACTTACCTGTGAAGATGAGATGAGAACTTCAGATTCTCAGCACAATGTATTTTCCCTATGGACAGCATGATGAAAGACTTTTCATCCATGTAGAACATTACATGATTTCTTGATACTGGATGTCTGCTTAAGCTGAAATACAGAAAAGCATGCAAAACTTGAACTGGTTAAATAATCTCATTAAATCTTTCATCTAACCAAGGTTTTTTTTCCCCTTACAGTAATGCCACTTATGCTTGGACCACCTAACCAAATTTAATCAAGATGTCAAAGATCTACCAAAAAATCTACACAGTTAAAAAACAAAACAAAACAAAACAAAGCAAAACAAAACCAACACAGATTCCAAAATGTGATTTGCTCTTCAAAAGATGGATTTCCAATATGCCTTGGATGTACTAAATTGTTTTCTGTAAATCACTACATTGTGCTTTTCTTTGCCAAGAAATAGCAGAGTCAGGCATGGAGGAACAGTTTTTTGGTCCAAGAAGAAATCAATGACCATCAAATGCCTTCTTATGGTTGTTACTTTACATATACAAATTCTTTTCCCTCAGCAGACATCATAGAAAATGTTAGAAATTGGTATTTTTTCTTGTAGACAACCCAAGAGCGGCATCTGTGCATTAATCCTTAGGCATTGGTGTGGCTCTAAAAACCTGAAAGCTTTGGTAACACGTTCAGTTCTTAATGCTTCTTAAAAGCTCCTTGGTAATGTTCTACCTCCTACATCATCCTGTCAGTCACTGCAAACCAAGTCCTCACAGAGAAGTTCCTGAAGGTCTCCTGAGCAGTGCTCCACTTCACATGGTACTATGCATGGCATATTTGTAATTCTCAATTTCTGCTGACTGTATGCCATGACTCTTGCTCTGAGCACTTGTATCAGTAACCCTAGCAACCAAGCCACTGATATCCTTTGACATTACACCAGTTACTAGATGCTTATAGTTAGTATACTAAAAAAAAAAATAAATGCTCTTGCAAGTCCATCAGAAAAAATCACAGAACTCCCTTATTTTCCTAGGACATAGTTAAAGAAAATCTGACATTCCATAGATGCATACCATCTTGCTATTCTCGGGCCAAAGAACTAGCACTTCAATTCAGGCTGTACCCATAAAAGGCCTCACTTGACACATCACTACAGCAAGGAAACACTCTCTTTTCGTATTTGGCTGCTCCATAAATACCTGCCCATGAGGTCTTGCATAGACACAGACTCTGTTAAATTATGGTTGAATTAGATGACCCTAGTGGTGCTTTCCAACCTTAAGGATTTTATGATTCTGTGCTCTTTGCAATATCCAGACTGTTGCAAAAGTTTCGTTTGCAGCAGTCTCTTCTTTCCGGCAGGGCTTTGCTTTTGTGGCAAGTGTTTGCAGCTGGGTCGTGCAGCATGCTAGATCCTGAGGGCAGTGTGGAGCACAAGCCTTCCTCTTCCTTCCCTAAAGTTTTTCTCATTCCTCTAGCCATGCTCCTTGCAATTACAGCACTCCTGCTCTTAGCATTTTCCACCACTCAGCAGAAAGAGACTGATTTTTACACTTTTAAAGTTGTAAATATCAGGGGCAAACTAGTATCTCTGGAGAAATACAGGGGCTCGGTAAGTGCACGCTCCTCGCATGTCTGTGGAAACCAAAGGGGGGAGGGAGAGGTTGGACTTCAACCCGATGCATGCAGATAGATTTGCATTTGCAACTCTTGAACTGGAGTGTTGCCCGTGCTTGCTTTGATATCGCTCCGTAGGTCTTTGCACTCTTTAAATAAAGCGTTTGCAGGTCTCACCTCTGTGTGTCAGAGTGTTCCTTCTGCACGCTGCTCCCTGCATACGTGGCAAGCAGGGTTTGCCTGCATGCCTGTCCTTTGTGCAGCAGGATGAATTGCACTGGATGGCAGCTATTAAACTTAAAGCACGTTATCTTTGTACATATTACTTTTGGAACTTATTTCTGCCTTTTAACTGCATGAGTTTTAGTAATTCTTTTTTTTTTTTTTTTTTCCTGGATTCTTTTTTTTAAAACCTCCATTTAAAAAAAAAAACAAAAACTAATCAGTGGTTAATGGAGTTAACAAATTTCACCATAATAAGTAATACAGTGGTAAAAGATGAATGATTTATTGACAGTTATTTTTGTGTAAGAGCATTGTGAAAATGCAGCGCATCACACTACATTCTACTTGTTGATTTTAGGATAACAACAAGATGAGCAAGAAAACATTTTTTATGATGTCTTTAAATTTCATTTAAATGTTACATTAATGAGTTCTAGGCAGAGCTTACCAGTTTAAAAACAATTGTCCTGAATGTAATCTGATTGTTTTTCAGCCATTTGACAATCTGAGATGCTTAGTCTCAGTAAGAGTAAAGAGAGGTTAGAATAAGAAAAGGGGCATAAAGTTCTTGCGGATAGATTCAGAAATTAGAGAAAACAAAACAACACAAAGCCCACAGCCTCCACCCTTAGCACTCAAGAGGTGCATCTTATGTGATGCTACCAAAAAAGGCAGGCACTGCTTTCACTTTCACTCTTAGCTTCAGCTCTGTGTTCCCACTATCCTTTTCACCCTCCTCAGTTACTTCACTCAGGTTATTGTGCCCACTGGTCCACAGTGGTGAGTCACTAAAACATTTGCAGGAAGACAAGAGAGGGCCCATATAAAGAGGAATATATTTTCCTGAACAGCTGAGTAAAGAGAAATACTGGTGGATTTAAACCAAATGAGAGGCATTAAACTTTAGCTGGTCAAAGTCTTCCTCCATTCACAATTTGGTTAGAAGACAGAGCAGAACTGGTCAAATGCACACTCAAATATCTGTCTTGGAAAAAGAAAAACATGCAGTCTATGCAATATTTGCTTTGTTTATAAAGAGTTCCTTCCAAAGTCTCTGTCAATAAAACCTGTCACAAGGCCATGTTTTTTCTACACATCATCTACTAATCTGTCTGAATAAGCAAATACCACCTGTAGCTTTACTTCAGAGCCAGAATCTACATAGAAAGGAGTAAAGGGGTGAAACTGGAGGCACTCTTTCCAGCCACCCTGCTGAGTTCTGTGGCTGTTTGCCCCCACCCTAGCATGTTGCTGAGCCTGCTCTGGTATCTCATGGCTGCACTAGGATTAGTGCGTGCATCTCTATCTCCACTGGTGCTATGACAGCACACCATCCTCAGGGAGTAACAGGCTTTCTAAGGGAGAGATCTTGAGCCACACCTTGAAAAAGGTTAGCACCATCAGCAGTGTTCCTCCTTGATCTCTACTAAGCCTTATGGAAGAACGCATTCTAAAACAGGTGATGACCAGCTTCTATGTGGAGCAAAAGATTGGCATTCAGAGATCCGATCAGTGTTCATTTCAACTGCTCTTTGTGAATGCACATGCAGAATTTTAAGTTACTTTATAATAATGAGCCATTCCACTTTCTGCCATTGTGTCATCAGAGTTCAGTATCAAGGAAACAAAGGTTAAGCACTTATTTCTTAGAATAAACCTTCTTAAATCTAGATAAGTAATATTAACATAAGGTTTATCATAATATTTTGAAGCAATTAAAAGAGCACAAGTAATATATCAGTGCTATGTATGTGCTGCTGGTAATTTAAAGTGAGTGTGGCACTAGTTAGCCTTTGGAACAAGTCTGCTAATTGCTGAACCAGCTTTTAACAGCATTAAGCTTTCTGGCAGATATAGAGGAAGCATTTCTTCAGCTCAGTCATTCAGCTAATTTATTTAAATAATTATGTAATTTGTAGTCTAGAAGCTAACCAAGAATTGAAAAAAAATCAGGTTTCCAAAGGAGACCAAAAAAAGTCTGTAAATCCTAAAAACACAAGAGCCATGCTGAGTAGAAATAAACAGTGCAATTCATGACTTGCAGGTTCTTCAGTAACTCATTATTAATCTAAATTATGTATTCAGATCATAGGGATAATTGCTCTTACCAAGAAAAAAAAGCGAGGCTGATTGATATTAATTCAACTTCCATTCCATTCAAGTGCATCTTGATACAAATTACAAGTACCATTGATCATATAGTAAATAAGAAAAGTACTACTTACAATTCTGAAATACTCTTTTTTCCTGATGTAAATATGTACAGATATAACCTGTCCTCCACTTGAATAAAAATATTAAAAAGAGATGATGGAAGATTTTTCTTCCTGTGGGGATATAAGAAATACCATTTGCAGAATGCTAGAAGTTTACGTATGCACTACAAATTTGGTCTGGTACTACACCTACCTGAAAGCAGAGGAGGAAAGCAATACTACGACTGAAAAAAAAGTACCACAAGTGCAGTAGATCAAAAAGTTGGTTGTTTTACTCCATTGCATGAGAAGGTGATCATGCTATGCTTTGTCCAGGCTACCATCTACTCCATCTACTTTAAACATGAGGCATAGTGATAATCAGTTGAAAAGAACCAATGGGATGCAGATAAGATTTGTTTTACCAGAACACCTGTTTTAAGAAAGTTTATATTTTAAATTATCATCTCTATCAGACGGGCTCTAAGTATGAAGCAGTATTCTTTCCAAAAATACATCTGTCTGGGAGTTAGAAAGCTCACAGCAGCTGTTCCCTGCTGTATTTATACTCAGCTAGATGTTGGTACAACAGTACCAACCTGTCTGCCTACCTGCCTACCACACAATACATACAGTGTGCTGGGGTGCAGTATAGCACTGCTAGGACAGTTCTTTGGGAATCCTGAAGCAAAGGTACTATAATCTTCTAAAGCACTAGGCACTGCTACAACATACAGCATTATTTTATTGTGGAAAGCAATGCCAGGCACCTTGCATCATAGCTCTCTGCAGTCTGAGAATGCAGCATTATGGAACATGTGTAAGTACTGGATATTGATACTTAATTACTGTACAAATAGTTGCTATAATAATTGCTACTTTAATCCATGAAGGTAACAATTGAGTCAGTTTAATTTAACATCTGTAGCTGATCTTTTCATCAGCCAGATGGGGACAGTTAAGAACATAAGCATCTACCATTTCTGATAAAAGATCCACAAAGAAATACTTTAAAGGTGATAGCAGATTCTTAAATCTCTAGGGTACACTGTGTAAACATCAAGTAAACCAAGATCTGAATTTGCAGTGTTGAATAGATGAGTTCACTACTGGAATGCATAGGTTTCCTAAGGAAAGGATAATATTAAAAGACAACAGTTTATATAGAATTCAGATTAAATTGGTTTTGAAAGGTTCAGTTGAATTGTTGGCATTGCACACTAGGTGGTGTGCTTGACTTGCACTCTCAGAGCCTAAGGTGGGAGAAAAGTCAAAGGGAGTATTGAGTTTAATTTAAATCATTAATAGCCGTCAAAGTACAATCTCATAATGAGAACAAGAAGAACAGCTGTTATTTATTAAAAGTAAACAAAAAATACAAGTTACCACATTTTGATCACTTGTGGTACCAGACAGAAACACTTATGAGATAGCTTGGTAAAGGCTTTTAAATAATCATTCTATTCAGAATACAATTTATGACAAGAATGCATCATAAAATCATTGTGTCTTCTCAAAAACAAAAAAGGAGAGGGGAGGAGAGGGAATGGGAAACAGAGAGGAGAGAAAATCCTTAATTATATGGCATATATTTAAATTTTCAAGTAGAGATCTTAAATGTAGTTTGAATGACTGCGGTGCTTTGAAACTTAGCTAGATGGCTCCAGATAGTATTTCATGTGCAAGTTTAGAGGGATTGTTCAGTATTTTGTTGACACACTACAACACAAAGATTGCATCAGCTTCTACTTTAGAAGATTACCTTTCTGTTTTCCAGGGAAAACAAATAGGGCTGCTCAGAAAACACTTGAAATATAGCCACATACCTATACAAGGCAGAAAATGCACAACATGTTGATGTTTAACATAAGAAATTATAAACGCCAACTTCACCTTAGCTTTCTCTTTACTGCTTCCTGCACCTACAGGAACTTCACCCTATCATCCCATATCTTACCCAGATTATGAGCTTTTACCTGAGAGTTTGGGTTTGAGACTAAATGTTATTAGTAGTCCTGTATTTTTCATGTATATATATATATATATTACTTTTTTTGCTGTGTATTTGCTGTGTAACTTGAATCAGGTCAATTAACACGTCCAGGCTTCAGGTTCCCCTTTTGCTGCTCTGGGCCCTTCAGCACTGCTGTCTCACACTGACAGTAATGAAGCCAACATGCCAGTTTCCATGAAGCTTCTTAACTATTGCAGGAAGATTGATGTGAATAGCTGCTGTTGTTGTAGCAATACTGGGGAACATACTGGCCATGATGACTGAACTTTTTTTTTTTTTTTTTTTCAATTTAAAATGAAGCACCAACTTCTGGGCTGATGTATCATCTGTAGAAACCCACTGGATTCAGATTCTTCACTGCTTTGGATCTGTAATTGGGGCAGTAACCTTCATATTTCATATGTTGCCATTCTGTCATAAATGAGTAGACAATCTAGAAATTGCGTGCATCCATTTATCATTGCCAGCACATCTACACTGGCAGTGATAAATGGATCAGCCAGCTCTATCTGAGTACTAAATTCTTTACAAGAAAAGATGTTGCACAACAGATGCTGTACAACAGATAAACAGACAATCAATAACAACCATTAATGCTGCAGATTTCTTTCAGGCAACTGAGTATTGCTCAGCTGAATGGTCACTTCTTAAGAATGCTTAGAAACTATCCAAAATGCAGAACAGAGCAGCTCTCCATAGAGTAGGCTCTCCATAACTGGAAATTAAGATTACTTAATAGTTTGTTGATTATCTTCACAGTTGCCCAGTGGTAATTCATAAGAGAAATACATATTTTAAATCTTGCTGTAGTGAACAAAACTTAATGCAGTTTCAAACATGAGTGTTCAGTCACAGTTCTGCAGAAAATCTCATTTTTTGAAACTGAGCTGCATTCCAGCCTGTTTGTTGGAAAAATGACACGTGCAGCATTTTTTAATCTCTCATCCTCTTCTTCTTCAGGTGTCATTAGTTGTCAACGTTGCAAGTGAATGTGGGTTTACAGATAGTCACTACAAGGCCTTACAACAGTTACAGAAAGACCTCGGCCCATATCATTTCAATGTGCTGGCATTCCCATGCAATCAGTTTGGGCAGCAAGAACCAGACACCAACAAAGAAATAGAGAGTTTTGCACGAAAGACTTACGGTGCCTCCTTTCCTATGTTCAGCAAAGTTGCAGTCAGTGGAGCTGGTGCAATTCCTGCCTTCAAGTACTTAATTGGTGAGTAATCTGGAACAGCAATGGGTTGTTTCCCCAGTGTAGAATTCCTGACACAGGATACTCTCTGATTAAAAAGAATGCCTACGACTGAGCACACAGCACCACAGCACAGAATAGTCAGAAGTCATTGAGTCCATCCTCCCGCACAAGGCAGGACTTCTATGTCACTACAGCAGGTTTGTCTAGCCTTTAAAAAATATTTCAAGGGATGAAGATCTCTACAATAACAAATGCCCAGTAAGAGCTAGTCACTTCTTCTGTCTTGAAATATTCTCCTACATGCATGCAACACCTGATCTTCATTTTTCCACTTTGTAATCTTTTAAGTGGTTCTCCTGTGATACAGCTGCTGCAGGTTGGATTTAAAGATTCATCTAATGATCTTTAGGGTAAGCAGAAGCAAAGTGCCTACATGATTTACTTCTTCACCAAAAAGTGAAACCAGCCACCAAGAGTTAATCTTGAATACTTGCTTCCTCATTCCTTACCAAACACTGCAACAGCCATACTGTACTGTTCTTCCAGTTGTGATCTGCATTATAGCTAAATGCTACTTGAAGAGGCTTTGTTCATTCTTGGCAGACAGCTTACAAAATACACTGTGAAGCAGAATATTCTCTATCAAGACGCTTTTTCATTCACTGAATGAACACTCTAAAATACCAGTTAAATGCCAGACTTAAATGACAGCCTTTATCTAATGCTAAAGAAATTACTTCCAGGAATTACCTATAATAAAGACCAAGATGACACAGTATCACAAGCTGCCAAGAACCATGCCACTTTTTATTCTCTCTGACACCACAATGTTCTCCCATACATCGCCAAATTTAAGGGAGTTCCACTACTATTTTTGGCTACCTAAAGCAATCCTCCCCCCAGGTAGCTCTTTCTGCTAGAAAAAAATTCCCTTTAATTCTCTTCATGCTCTTCCATTTCTGTTTTTCCCTTTGAGGTTGTCACTACCGATGTGTCCATGAAACTTGCATTCCTTCCCTGTTTGCCCACACACAAAGGGAAGCTGCTGGAGTCACTATGTTTATTGCAGCTTAACAACCAGTCAACCACGTAGGCCTGTCTGTATACTGAGAATACTCTGAAATATCTTTGGATCCCATATGAGATTTTTGTCTATTGTATAATCAGTGGAAAAAGATGCTAATTTGTCTGTAGGGTCTGTACTTGTGCCTTTAGTGTAATGAGACTCCTTGTCTTACTCAAAATCCCGAACATTTTGTTAGTTATGTAAAAGACAGTAAAGGCTAAAAATACCACTGCAGTGAAATGAATATATAGTCATGGAGTGAGAGAGTAGTATGAGAATTAGCAGGAAACCTTTACCTTGTTACTTCTTCACATAGCATTTCTTGAAACATTCTTCTGAAGCACATAATACCAGGTGTTCGTGGAGGAAAAATTCTGGATAAGCAAACAACTTGTCGCTCCCAGTGCAGTTAGATTTTTTTTTAATATCCAAAATTCAGTCTTCAACTGTTTTAAACTATCCTTAGAGTAACATACACATGTCTCTCTCATGACTACAGTCCTTTCTTCTGTCTCAAGCTTGACTGTGCTTCCATCATTTGCCAGGGGACTAATGTCTAGTTAAATCTCCCTGTCAGACATCATTTTAACATTCACTCTGAACACCCTCTTTTTGATTTGACATTCCTCCTTCCTTTGGTAATCATCAGATTGGTACAAATAAGAACTGAAGAACTGGTTAACATGACTTTCTTTCATTTTTCCTTTTTTTCCCCCCCCTCCCTGTAGATACTACAGGAGAAGAACCAACCTGGAACTTCTGGAAATACTTGGTAGACCCCAATGGGAAAGTAGTAAAGGCCTGGGACTCTACTGTCTCTGTTGAAGAAATAAGACCTCATGTTACAGAACTTGTGAGGAAAATCATCCTGAAGAAAAAAGATGAATTATGACTTTCAAAATCACAGCAGCTCAATTACATCTTTATTGAGAATTAGGAATGCGCTCTGTCTTTTCACATTCCAAAAGAGAGAATATGCAGAAGAGAAAACATGACCAGTTGAGTTGATATTCACCACCTTCAGAATGCAAAAAACAGAAATTTTAAATTTAATTACTTTTTAATTTCATTTTTGCTATCCCCAAATATATTCTATTTGGCTCTTCCAAGAAAGAAGGTTGCATCAGCAACTTTTTAATTCCCAATTCAAATTACTGCTAGTTTGTAACACTACACAAAACCAGATAACATACCTCTAGCAAACAGGATCAGAGTAACAAGAATTTCCCAGCTGGAATATTTCTCACATCTAAAATTCTGTTGTCATATTTTGATCACTATCTAAATGAAAAAGAATAAAAAGTGTGTGAGTGATTTAAGGTATGTGTTAGGAAGAGGACAAAAAACAGATACGTCTCATCCAAACCAACTTCATTGTATGTTTTTCTAATTATGAAGGTCAAACATTTCACTGGAAGGTCAGTTGTCATGGGCCTGAGGAAAACATATCCATGAAACTTAAAGAAACAGAATACAAAGCCTCTGTAAAAACTCTTCAAAAGCTGTAAGATCTCAGCATTTTTTCATCCAATAAGGATTATCAGATAACATAAAAAGCCATCGGAACATCTGGAGGACGAGAGCCTATCTGGGATGGCTGTTGCTTTCTTTTAGCAGCACTGTGTCTTAGAAGACTTACTCTTACCTCCTATAATTGATTCTAAGTTTATTTTGGAATTTATAACACCATCTGATTTGGCTGCATGTACAAACACTAGAGAATTAACATTTTCCTATGAAGCACATTTTCCAAACATTTGACTGTTGCATAATGCTATATTATTCAATGTTGCAAATGTTTAGTTGTACCCTTGTTTCAAAGGTAGCACTCAGGTACCTATTCAAACTTCACACTGCAGAGGTTATTAGTGCATACTAAAATAATAACAATAATAATTACAGCCCATTGTTCTTTGACAGAAATCCACTGAAAATCTTGTCAGCAAGAACTCTTTTCATCAATAAAAACACAATGTACAGGTCCCTTGCTTTTAAACTCAGGAAGAAGCCAGTCTTGTCCAATGGCAGTGTTATTGACAATTGAAAGCCTTTTTGGTGCTTTGTAATGCTTTTTAAAGTAGCAAAAACAGTATTTGTCCATGCAGTTGTCAGGGCTCGAGTACATAAATAAGCCTTAAATGCTCTGGCCATGGTACGAAGTTATAATGGCATGATGAGCTGGAATAGCTCTTCAGCATGCAAACAGTCTTCAGCATGCAAACAGTCTTCAGCTGAAATCAAAGGCAGGCATTATGGCATGCACTGGCTTGCATAAAAAAAAAAAAAAAAAAAAAAAAAAAAGGGAAATGGAGTACTGAAGAACTATTGGAAATAAAAGAATTGATCTCAGAGTCCATTACAATCCCATGCTTTAACAGCTGCTCACTTCTGAGGTCTTGGACACATGACATAGCCTGGCCTAAGGAAGAAAAGAGCTGGAGATGTTTTAGGGTTTGAAGAGTGGCTCTGAGGGACAGAGATTGTACTGTGCAAAGCAAGCTGAATTTCCCTGAAAGAATGCAAGGGCCAGGTGTGGGGGTTTTAATTTTTAGTTGGGGGTGGTAGGAAAAAAAAAAAAAAAAAAAGATGTGAGAAAATAAAAGGAAGAAGTAAAAGAAGTACAAAAGCAAAAAAAAAAAAAAAAAAAAAAAAAAAAAAAGGAGATCACATAAGAGAAGGGGAAAAGAAATGAAAAAACAGTTTGTAATCAAAGACTCTTTGGGATAAATAGAGGATGGAAATGTTCAGTTATATTGAAACTAATGAGCATACTCCAAGCTGTATCAGCTAATTCTCTCTTGGAGCATAGCTTCAGAACAGGAAATTGCTGCAAGTGGCAGTGAACATGTCTCTATTTTCCTCTGATGGAGAGGAAAGTGGATGCCACCATCCATTCAGTCATTCAGTCTATGCTTACATCAATCACTCAGGACAGCTGCTACAAAGTAAAGTGACAAAGCAGAATCAGACTAGGCCAGCAGTGTGCTGGGACAAAGAACCCAACTATTAGGAAAGGAGCTCTTATGACTATAGTTATTTATCTTTTTTGTCCACTTATGCCAATGCGGTGCTCTAACACGCTGTTAGCAGAAAGCAAGAGCCAGAAGTATTTTCCATAGAACAGATGTTTCTATTACCTGAAGCCCTGATGAGCCCAGATTGTGCTTTGCAAGACATTTTAAGCCCTCTTTATTTCGATTCAGAATGTCCAACCTGTGGAAAGTGAAAGTGTTGTTTCTGCATTGAACATTGAAGAGGGCAATTGATCTAAAGAATTAACCTGTAACATATCCTTAGAAATAGCTGATGTGGAAAGTAAGAATACCATATACATGTTAGTAACATATTTTAGAAACACAGTTACCGAATTACCTAACAAATACTTTCTCACAAAGCTGCAATAGATTCTGAATGTTCTAATTGATGTGGGTATAGTATTCTGAACTAGGAAACATATTGTAAGGTCATTCATTAGACTGGCAAAAGCAAATACATTTAATAAACACTCAAGGAGTCAGGGCCTTTACACAAAGCAGAACTGTCCCACCTTGTGGGAATGTTAGGATGCCATAGACAGGCTCCAAGATACTCCCCTCTATCCTCATTCCAAGCTTATCTCTATGCAAGGACAGATGAATGACCAGAACAATGACCCAGTGTGAAAGGGCACAAATGTTAGGGGGTAATTAAACGATTGAGGCTATGTCTACGTTTACGTTGTAAAACTGACATCTGAAAAGTTATGACCAAACATTTGTTAAGAAAGCAATTGTTAGAAGTCAATTAAACAAGTAAGACATTTGTGTTTGGGCGGCAAAGATTTGTGTCTACTTGGTGTTTGTATGATTGGCGAAGCGTTACGAAAGAGTGTGAACCTGCAGTACTCAGCCAATGAGGAACCAGGGGAGAAAGAGATCAGCAGTGGGCAACAGGGGATAAAAGATGGAACACTGTTTTCCCGGGGCTCTCCTGCTTGCAGGAGGCCCGCCATTGCAACTGCAAATAAAATCTGCTTTATCAGAGAAACCGTCCTAGAAAATTATTTGGATATTTCCAACAAACTTCAAATAGACACCTGGACTTACTTAAGTGTGGTCTTGCATTCACTATACTGTAATGTATATAATACTGAAAGCCTAAAAAGATGTCATGTCAATGACCAGTTGGAAAGAGTTCATTCTACATGGACAAATAATCTCTGGGCTGTTTTAAAGGCATTACAAAGCAAGGGAAAAAAAGCTTTCCCTCATCAATAACACTGCAATTGGACAGGACTAGATTCTTCTTAAAGCATCCTAGGGTTAAGAGCAGGGGACCTGTACATTGTGTTTTTGCTGAGGTAAAAATAACTTTTGCTGACAAGATTTTCAAAGGGTTTCTGTCAAAGAACAGTGAGGCTGTAATTGTTGATGTTATTATTTCAGGGAGCTAAGAAATTCTGCAGTGTGAAGTCTGAGCAGACACCTGAGTGTTATGAACAATACGGGGTTGGTGCTGTTCTTAACAAATTGCCAATTTAAAGAGAATTAGTATTACAAATGCAGGCTTTGAAATGTGAACAGGTACATGGCTTTCAGCACATGAATACTCTCTCTGAAGTTAACAAACATTTTTATGATTGAGCACGTGGCATGTATTCCACCTTTTGTCACATTGGAATTCTAGCCTACAGAACAAATGTTTTGGTCTTTTAATGAAAGCTACAGAGGAAAAGTAAATATTCTTGGCTGCAGATTAGTTTACATCTAGTTCTTCATGACTACCTGCTCCAAAAAAAATTGCAAACAAAATTGTGCTGGCGTGTTGAGACTACTTGTCATCATGCAGAGATCTGAAATTACTTTTTTCCTCCAGCAGGTCCTGAAAACTGTACAACAGCACTGAATTTATAGCATGAGACTAGCTGCTTTGCAGCCTGTCTGCTTTACAGAGAAAATAGGAGTTTGCCTTAACAGACGAGCATTGATGCATGGAGAGAGATTATGTTGATAACTTAAGACTTGATCTCCTACAGCTTGCAAATCTGAAGGTGTAAACTCTTTGCAAGCCAATTTAAATGTTAAACTAACCACATAGACTCATGACTGTGCTCAGTCACATATCCCCAGGGCATGCCAGAGAAGAAAGAAGTCATTTGAAGGTCTAAGTATGATATTAAAAATCAGACAAGACCATTTCAAAGTTCCAGAAGTTTGTCTCACAAAGCACGGAAAATCAGGCCTGCAAAGATTCCAAACAGTTATGAAATGGAATATATTACATTGAAACAAAACAATGGAGCAGAGCATTATAATGAGATCAACACTAAGCAGCCTAGTTATCCTTGTATCTACCTCTGGTATTTTTGTTATACACTAATGATGTTTCACTCAAGTTATTCTGGTCTGAAATACCATTAGCAAACCAAAAAATTTCTCTCTTGAATGGTACCAAGTTCATCATTAGAAACAAATTAGCATCCACTTCAATAACTAGCTGAACATAGTACTTTTCAAAGACTAGAAAGCCATATGATTAAGCAAAAGCAAATTTTACGCTATCTTCAATTCTTGAATCAACCAATGGCAATTGGACAGATCAATACAATGGGAAAAAGGTGTTTCACCAGAGGGGAATTGACAGAAGGACAAGCACAATAGAAAGGTGCTATAAGGGAAGGGAAGAAGATTGCTCACCTGTACCACAAGATTCCAGGTTTGCAGGAGAAAGCTCCACCAAAGATCCTTCCCCAGTGGCAGTCAGTCCTTAAACGAGGTCTCAGAGATTTGCAGCCAGGCTCCACCCATTCCGGTCTCACAGCTGAATTGCCTTCACCTGTGCTTCCAAGGCTGACCAGGTCCATTCCCCAGGTGCTCTATCAGTGGTTCAGGCTGTGACTCAGCAGTTCCCATACACAACCAAATATGCATGTAAATGTATACTGCAGCTATTCATAGAGCCAAATTAAACTTAACAAGCTTATGTCTGACTCATTCGTGGAAGGAGTTGAGTTAGCAGACAAATCAGGTGTTCTCTGTGACACAGTATTAATACACTCTGGAGTAAAAACATCACTGGCAAAACAGGAAAGAGCTTGCAAACACACTGATGGAAGAGGCACTAAAAACACAGATCTAAAAACTAATTCTAAACCACACTAAACCTACACAGCAGACACATGTGGAATGGAAGGAAATCCTTGAACTACATCTTAAAGTTTACCATTCAGTGAAGACTGTATGAACTAATACTACATAGCTGACTCATCCATCTAGCCAGCTCACAAACATAGCACTGCCTATAGTGTAGGATCAGCAATAACAAAATTCAACTCCACTTCTCATCTTTTACGTCATTTATGCCAGCTTTGCAGCAGAAAGGTAGAGGCAACAGTGGGGAGCTGCCTAGTGATAATGGCTAACATTTGCCAGCTGTCTCTACCCAGGAGCTGAAGCTAGCATCAAGTAACCTTCCTTTCTTAGCTTAGAAAACTTGACCCAAACTGTCAATCTACAGATTTAGGAGGAAAGGCATGGTGTTTTATCTCAGAGCACTGCAAGATATCATGTTTGACAAGAAGAACTTCTAAACTAACGCCAGAAAATGAAAGCAGTTGCAGGATTACTGTATTTTAAATAAGCAGACTTGTATTCTGAAAGGTAGGGATAGCATGAGAGTTCTGAGATGAAGCTGCCTACACAGACTCTTTTCTCTCTGTTCAGAAATAGCAGCATCAACAGAACCAGGGCCAGATTCTTTCCTAAGCACGAATTGATGGAGCTAGAACAGTAAAAGAACTAATGTTCTTTTACTGGGAGTGATAGGAAAGTACAATTTTTAGGAGAACTAACTTCTGTAAGATCTGCTATATAAATGGAATACAACAGACAGAAATTAGAGAAATATTACCTTCATGGAGCTGCAGTTTTAGTTTTCTTGAATTAAAGACAGTGAGAAAGCTATTACTAGATTAGATCAAATAGTCCTATGTCTTTTTTCCCCTTTCTCTAAAAGCACAGCTGTTTCATCATAATTGTGTTCATCTGAATTGTGATACCACTATTTTTAATCAAGTAAACACATGAATCCAACAATGATTAAAGAAGAAAAGCTGTAGAGAAAAATGTCCGTAATCCACAAATTGTTTCTCCATCTTCTATAAAAGGGCAGAAGAGTCAAATTATTCTCATAATTAAAGTGCCTATAGTACAAATCAGTTTTTCTAACCTTTTAGTAGAGTAAAACCACTCAGATTTTTTTAACTCTTTCTATACTGAAAACATTTATTTTATTAGTGCTAATTTATTGTTCTCTCAAAGGTGTACCACTAAGCATTAGAGATGCACAGTAAAATGTTCTCCTGTCATATAAGCATTTTAAATTTGAAGTCTCCTCCTCCAGATGAGAACAGAATATCCATATCTTGAGTTTTGAAGCAGAAGTAGCCCCCACACAATCAATTTGGTTCAGGTGAAAATTTTTGCTTGGATAAAATCAATGAGAGATGTTTCAAGGTTGATGTTCAAATATTCAAATGTTCAAAAATATACAGAAAAT